GTGTGTGTGTGTGTGTGTGTGTGTGTGTGTGTGTGTGTGTGTGTGTGTGTGTTTTGATTTAGGCTAATGGTCCCATCACTAACAGCCCCTCAGTAAGCTTACTAATTTATAATTCTGCAGCAGGATTCTGTAATCTTTGCGTGTGTGAATGTAAAATGAGCACACAACAAAGCCACGTCCTAATATCTGCCTCTCGTGCAGCTAAAACACTGAATCACGTCGCTGAAGTTGCTCGTGGCTCAGTGTTGTGTGTGTGTATGTGTGTGTGGTTGCTCGCTGCACTACAGGCCATAATATTCCAACTTTTCCCTCCGTGTCACTTTGATTTCCAGTTGATGAAGACATCCCTCCGTTTAAGTGGATTATTTGCACTGCACACTGCAAATCCCGTGCATTATGTGCACTGATTAGGATTTGAGCTGAAATATCAAACACTGGATGGATTCCTTTTTATTCCCAGCTGGCCATTTGAATTAGACATAGTGCGTAAACGTGATTTTTTTCAGCGTGAATTATCAATAATATCTGTAACAGTTTGGCCACAGTTTAAAAAAATATTTAAATTATTTCATTACATGGTGCTAAAATCATAAACCACAAAGCCACAAAATATCAACAATAGCAAATTTGTCTAATTTGCGTTTTGGCAATTCATAATATGAATATTTTGTGTGTGAGAGTTAAGGTTTTATTTGCTTACAAGCCTGTTTCCTTAAATGCAAATACAGAGTGAATATTGAGTAGTAAAACATACCACTTTTCACGAGATATTTGTGTTATTTATGGGATTATTTACTCTATAATATTAGAATGTAAAGATCGATATACAGTATCAAATGTAGTGGAAAGTCTGCCAATATTTTACATTCAGTGTAAGACGTTTCACTGAGATGAAACACTAGCTGTAGCCTGTTAAACGGTTGCACCACTCGTGGACAATGTTTATCAGTCATGGATGCACATTTCCTCTTTTTTCTCTTTCTTTTTGTCAGCGGTTCAGCGAGGACGAATGCCTCCAACCCAGCCCAACCCAGGCCAGTACGCGCTGACGAACGGGGACCCCCTGAACGGCCACTGCTATCTGTCCGGATACATCTCGTTGTTGCTGCGGGCAGAGCCCTACCCGACGTCCCGCTACGGGAGCCAGTGCATGCAGCCCAACAATATCATGGGCATCGAGAACATCTGCGAGCTGGCGGCTCGCTTGCTCTTCAGCGCCGTGGAGTGGGCGAGGAACATCCCTTTCTTCCCCGACCTGCAGATCACCGACCAGGTGTCCCTTCTCAGGCTGACGTGGAGCGAGTTGTTTGTGCTTAACGCGGCCCAGTGCTCCATGCCTCTGCATGTGGCCCCTCTGCTGGCCGCGGCGGGCCTCCACGCCTCCCCGATGTCCGCGGACCGCGTCGTGGCTTTCATGGATCACATTCGGATCTTCCAGGAGCAAGTGGAGAAGCTTAAGACCCTGCACGTGGACTCGGCAGAGTACAGCTGCCTCAAGGCCATCGTGCTTTTTACATCAGGTGGGTCATCATGTCCAACATGTCATACACGCACGCACACACACGCACACGCAAAAACACTGTCATGAGACGAGGCCTGTTTTTTTGGTGGGGGGAGTGGGAGCGAGGCGCACAGCGCGGCGCACAGTGACATCAAAAACATGGCTGTCATGGTTCGACTGGTCACAGATCAGTGCTCGAGATGTGTGTGTTGCCGATGAAAAAGCCATTTTGTCAACAGCTTGCATCATATCCACCGACATGCATTCCCATGTCAGTTATAGCCGCAGCATAAGACGTGTAAACAAATCCAGACTGTGTGAGCGCATCAGGTTTTAAAGTGTATCTCTGCATTCAGCACCTTTTGAAATCGAACACTATACGGAGTCATTTATCTATATTTTATTTAGGCTTTACCTCCCCCTTTTTTTGAAACACACAAAATATTTTACGTCCAAACATTTTTGGAACAGGTGTCGAATAATTGAGCGTAAAGATGAAGCAGTTTGTCAGTGGGCTGATGTATGGCTGCTGATGCATTTATGAGCGTCGCTGCGTGCTTTTATCCCTGTTTTTCTTTTTCTTTTTTTTCCGTGCACAAACACGTGTCTTCGGGGGCAGGAAATAATCCTTAACAGACTGAGATCAAAAAAAGCTGATGGAAGTGAACTCGGCTGTCAGTTCAGCGCCTCTGTAGGACACAGAGCAGCACTTAATAACACAAGTTATTAGTGGATTAATCTTAGCTGACCCATTAATTTTCTTAGTTACTGAGGATAGCTTCTCTGTCGCGCAGCTTTGAAAAGTAATCAGCAGCAGTTTTTAAAAGTAACCTACATTGTTGATAGCTTAATAGATGGCTGACTGGGGGTCTGGGCTCCGAAATGTCCTTATTTACTCTCTCTGCGTAATTTAGAAGTTCGCTGTGCGCGCTTGGTGCCATTAGGCCTCATGCGTCAGGGGGAGGTGGTGATTATGGGGAGGGAAGGGAAACTTTGAACTCTCTCACAGACTGGAAAACTACTTCTAAACTTTCCTAAAACTTTGGACCTCACTCTTCTCATGTTTGGCTCCACACAAAAATTCCGAAACAAAATTTATATAATCTATAATTGGAGAGGGTCCTTGTGGAATACTTAGATTTTAAATTTGCTTTCATGTCAAAATAATTAGCTGTTTAGTTTTTCCTAGAAAATAGTACATTTGCTATTTGTAATGGAAGTTGTGTATTTATATTTATTTTATTATTTAATATTA